AGGTGGGGATAGTGGGTGGGGTTCCCTGGGAGGGGAGACCCAGAACTGTGGGGGTATTGCCAGGGGGCAGTACCCAGAGAAAGGGGCACTGGGGTCCAGAGAGGGACAAGGGGGCCAAGTGGCAGTGGGATACCGGCCTGGAAATCGAGCTAATTCCCTGAGAGACCAGCAGGAGGTGCCACAGGGGTGAGTCTGTGCCAGCTTACAGACCCTTAGAATCAAAGACAGTTTACCTGCCTATCAAGTTAACATGAACTGCTCCTGCCCCTGTATCAGCTGCTCCTGCCCCTGTTTCCACTCCTGGCTATCCATTCTCAGTCTTTCATTTATAGTCTCTCTCCATGTTTTCTGCTTGCTATCAGCTGCATCAGATGAATCTACCCCTCTGAACATGTCTTCCTTACCCCTCCTGGTTCATCTCATCACGCAGAGCTGCTCAGCTGGTGTGCAGGCGGAAACCCTCAAGGGCATATCTGCAGAAGCTAAAGAAAGAGTGGACAGAGGCACTATTGTGAGTTTACTCACAGCCTTGATCCAGACAAGTTAGATACACCACTTTCTCACTTTCCCTTGGCAGGCACACAGAACAGCAAGAGCCCTAATCATGGTGGCCTGGGGATGGAGGGGCAAGATGGGACAAAGGGTGAAGGGGAGGGGTTCCCAGGGGTATCAGTACAAGCGCCTAGGGCCACTATTCTGAATACTGGCCCTGTTTTCCATGGGCGGGGGTGATAGCAGCTGGTATCTCACTTCTGAGGGAAACTGAGGCTGAAAGGGACCAGCTCCTGCATGTGTGTGGCTACAGACTGGTTCTGCATGCTGCTTGCCTGTGTGCTTCTTTGGTGCCTGCAGAGGTAATTGCCACATGGCAAGGCAAAGTTTCCTACCACGGGGGAAGAAATAAGGCTGCCCTCCCAAGGAACCTTCAGCAGAGGATTGGCAAGTACCTCCAGGAAAGTTTCCCAGAGATCTCTATGGAGGATTCCCAGGAAATCATGGTGTGCATCAACAAACTTTTCCGCAGTGCCCTCTCTGCCTAGCTGCACAGGGGAATGAGAAGCAGATGCAAAGAGTGCTAGTGTTGGTTATTTCTATCCCTCACCTATACTGGAACAAACAAACAAACAAAAAAACATAGCTCTTCCTCATGTCTCCCTGCAATATCAATGTACAATGAGAACTGACCAGAGCTCCCCTCTCCTGCATTGGGCATGCCAGAGCCAGAATGCTGCGACTGACTAGAACCCACAACAGTTAAAAAGAGGTCCCTGGTGCATGTTCCCCATTCTCCTCCAACTCCACTTCCTCAACTACCATTTCATCCTTGGGGTTCACTCTGCGGGCTGCTGCCTCCAGCCTCTTCCCCCCCATGCACACCCCAAAGTATCCTGGGGACTCTAGGCAGTGGAGGTGGGGTCACTGGTGAGGATGGCATGCAGCTCCTTGTAGAAGCAGCACACCTTTAGTGACACATCAGACTGATGATTGGCCTCCCTTGCTTTCTGGTATGTCTGCCTCAGCTCCTTGATCTTAGCATGGCACCACTATGTGTCCCTTTCTCGCCCCTTCTCCTCCATGCCACGAGAAATCTGTCCATAGGAATCAAAGTTCCTACAGCTGGAGCGGAGCTGAGACTACACAGCCTCCTCTCCCCACAGAGCCAGCAGATCCACCCACTCCAGCGAACATCAGGCAGGAGAGCGTCTGCTGCAGGGAGCCGGCATGGTCAGCTGGGAAGAGAGCTGCAATGTGATCTGTCCTCGAGGAGCAAACAGGAAGTGGAATTTCAAAAATTCCCGAGCCTTTAAAGAGGCAGAGGCATATGCCGGTGTAACTGGCTGTAACAGGGCAGCGGAGCTCAAAATGGTGACCAAAGTGATCAAGATGGGCATTGTGAGACACCTCCTGGAGGCTTCTCGCAGCGACATAAGAAACACGGTGTCCTTCGCTCTAACTACATCACAGAAAGCTCTATGCCGCTCGTCGAGGAGGTTTTATAATGCTGGCGGAGCAGGAGAGTTAAATCAGTGGGAGAAGCATTTTAGTGCGTACACCGCCACCGTTTTGTTGATGAAAGCTGACTTTTGTGGACAAAACTGTGTAGTATCCTAAGTATGTTAGCTTTTAAGTACCTGACTTGACCCTTTAAGAGGATGCTGACTTTCCAAAAGTGCTGAGCCACTGCTCTGTGAAAATCAGGTCTTTTTTAAAAAAGGTGTCACCTGCAGAGCTCCTCAGGTCAGTCCCTTTTGAAAATGTAGGCCCCAAATCCATGTTTTGGCACTTAATCATGATAGGAGAATTTTTAGAGGTACCGACTACCCACAACTTACCTTGAACTCCCAGTCTCTTGGTCCTGCTCAGTGTGTGTGGTTGAGGGGGGACACACACTGGGCTGGACTAGATGACTTCTGGAGGTTGCTTCCAGCCATATATTTCTATGATTCTACATAGGGTAACTTCCTAGACTACATTAATTGTGATTGCTGGGGTATTAAATCAAATGAAGTAACAGGTCTAACTAACCAAGTGTTAGATAAGGTAGATCACACTGACATTGTGCAGTAAACAACATTCTTAGCTCTTTAATTTTAAAGACAAGAAAAATAATGTAAAGTATAAGGCAAGTAATCTCAAATTATGAAGGCAAGGAAACTCAGCAAAGAAAGTAACTCAGTAATTATGCTAATAATACAGTGTGAATTAAACAGTTATTGCTTACATGAATAAATGAGCAATCCGCAGGTTCTCAGGTATTGGGACATATTAACTCACTAACAACTGGCCAATTCCTAGGTCCCAAAAACAGGATCACAGGAGGTTTCCTGCAGGGGCAGGTGACATGTTGTCATTGGGAGCAAGGCCTGAACAACCAGAAACTTTCCCTGATCCTTGACATTGGGGGGTTTCATGCAACAGACTAGACATAGCAGATGCTTACAGCCACTCTGCCTCCATATAACACACTTAAATGTTAACTAATTACAAACACAGGAGAATGCTCTGACCCATGGTGAGTTTCGAACAATATTTCTAAATTAGTTCTACACCAGAAAACTTAGCAAACACTACAGCAAGCCACTGTGCAAACAACTTTTGACAAACCGATTACCCCCAAGGCTGAAGGCCCCTTTAAAAGGTGGAAGAGAAGGTGAGTCATGCACAAAGTGGTGACTTTTTGTGAATCTCATACTGTAGTCCACAAAAGCAATGAGAGGTAATGGAGGGTGATGGCTCGTATGGTGTAATAGAGCAGCTTCCAGGCCAGAGCTTGGAGCAGTGTCTGACGGCACAGCCTGCAGGGATGTTTGCATTTGGATAGACAGTGAATGTGACAGGGGCGAAGTTGAACACAGGGTGGGTAAATCTGGTGGAGACTGAATAGGATGGGGTGGGACAGAGCTGTTTTGAAACTAGATGGCCTTGTTTTCCATATACACTGGGAGGGTCACAGCCACTGCTCAGAGTGGATGCAGAGTAGGCTTTTACAGAGCAGGTTGCATAGGAAGGCTGTAGGTGACAACAAAAAGTGACCCCTGTCCCCACAGGGGGAAGTGGAACCTGATCAGAAAAGCTGCATCAGCAATCTTTCCTAATGAGCAGCTCCTCCCCCTTGCACTATCAGCCATCCACTGCCACGGGGTCAGAGAGCATCTTGTAGCTGATCAGGAAGTAGGGGTAGCACTGGCAGTTGTCAGAGATCACATACACTTGGGTATTGCTTTTGCTGTTGACCCAGGAGTTGTAGAGCTGCCCACCAGGCACCACGGGCAGGGGGTGGTGGAAAAGTTTATGCCCAACAGCAGTCTTGCCCACCAGCACCTTGGCCAGGAACATGTGGCGTAGCCCAGCCTTGCTCGCCTGGCCGTGGCGGTGTGAATACATGGCACTCTTGGAGAAATAGCAGCCCCTGCCATAGATGGGAGCGTGCAGTCTTGAGAAGCTGGGGTCAAAGTTCTTCTGGCAGATGGGCTCCAGGAAGTCAGCAGCGCTCCCATAGAAGAGGTGCTTCTCCAGCTGGTGTTTCTCCTGCAGTGAACATGCATGGGACATGATGGCCTTCTGCCTGAATGAGACACAAAGGGGAAAAAAAGCAGGCTTAGATCCTGCCCAGAGGGGATGTTTGGGGAAACTGTAGAGGCCTAACTCCCCTCAACCACCTCTATCTCCACTTACTCAATAGATAAAGGCCAAAAGCTTGAACGGCAAAGAGTTAGGGGGTCAGTCTTCTCCCATCCGCCCCCCCAGCCCTCAAGGATCCATCCAACAATGACACACTAGTGCATCCAATGTCACTTGAGCACACTAGGATCTGCCCACCACTGCACAAATATTCACATTCCAGTGCACTATCTGTGCACCAGTGCACATGCATGCACCCTGCAAACAAACATGCAGCCCAGTGCACTAGGATCCATGCACCCATTCCCAAGGATGCATCCAAATATGCAAACTCCAGTGCAGCTAAATCTACCTACACTGCAGCACAAGGAATTGCCAAACAAGAAGCAATCACGCTCACAGTGGTGTGCTAAGATCCCCAGCCGAGGAAACAAGCACTAATATTCACACCCTAGCACACTAGTTCCTTCAGTTATACTCCTATGAGTGCACACCTTAGTGCACCAGCTCCAGGGCTCATATTCCTAGGCTTCCAGGACTATGAGTTCTGCACCCTAAAGCACTGACATTAGGTTTTACACTTCCTGCCTTGAGCATGGTGAGCTCCACAAGTGTAAGCACTAGCTCCAGCATTCCCCCTCTGGCATTCCGGGGCACTAGTGCTAGGATTCTCACGCACACATACATACACACACACGCACAATCTCCCCACAACATTTCTCTTTATACCTGGTGTATTTTTTCCAGAGATCATCATTCCGGATTCGGTAAATCCCCAGCACCAGTGTCTTTTCCTCTGAGAGAGACTGATGGAAGAGAGCACAAACTCTGTGGTACGCAACCTCTGTTGGTAGCACCTCCATCTTCAAGAAAGCCTGGCCATCTGGTGGCTTCGGGACCCAGGCAGCAGGGTAGGAGCCACAGTAGCCATCCTTCGGATTCTCCCCGAGGACGTCAGAAGTGGAAGAAACTGTTCCCCAGGGTCTTCTAGGGAGCGTCCTAGGGAGATAGTGAGACTAGAATTAATCTCCTCTGAATGCTGCTTACATTCCTTTAGGACCATGGTTGCCAGGGGAGTCACTTACGTCAGATGTGGCACCATACTGAGGAGGGGGCGGTAGGAAGGCCGGCGCTGGACCAGGCGGACGTATTCCTTATCCCGGTTCCGTTGCACATGGCGCTTCAGATCCACAATGAAGAAGTGGCCTTGGCGTTCGAAGGTGTAGCTGTCTTTGTCTTGCTCATAGGCAGCAAGGAGACCTTGGGAGATGGGCTGAGGGGGAAAGGAAGAGGAGGTATACAGTGAGAGTGCTCCAAAGAGGAAAGCCAAGGACCCCCACACACTTCTCCTCAGGCTGCCACCTTCATCAATAATTCTTTAGATATCTGGGGAAGCCAGAGGCAAAGATCTGCCAGCATCCAGCCTCTCTTCATCTTGACTAACTATGACCTTTCCCTACAGCATCCTTTAGCCTTTTCAGCCTGGTTTTCCCTCAGGCCATAGCAGAGAAACTCCTTTCTCTTCCTGCTGATGAAGGCTCCTTCCCCATCCTCAGTATCTCCCCTCCACACACCTTCTCTCCTCTGTCTGTGTCCCTCAGTGTGTCTCCCCCTTTGCTGTTGTTTTTGGTTTAACTACAGAATGTAATTCCTTTGTGTACCTCAGTGAGGCATTTCTGGGGAAACGCATTGTATGATATACATGACGCAGGTTGGACTGCCGTTCCCTTTTCCTCACCTCCTCATACTTCATCCAATTGCCATTGCTCTTCCAATAGGCCACCCACTCTGTGGGGAAGTGGGGGTTCTCCTTTGGATTAGAGGTGTTGGAAAGTCGCCGCACTTTGTCATAGGGTCCGACGAAGCAAACCAGCTTCATGGACTGCAGAAAAATGCTCCCGAGAGCACCACCTCTGTGAGCAGGAAAAGGATACAGTAAACAATTATTCCTCCATTACCTCCTACCAGGAGAGTCCAGGACTGGAGTAGTTAGGAGCTTCCCCTGCACCCAGTGCTTCTGCCCAGTTCGCTACAGCACCTCCTGCTGGGCAAGGCCGGGACAGCAGTAGGGTGGGAGTTCCTGTCAGCCAGCACTGTGGCCTACACCATAGCTCTCAATTTGGGATCCACACCTCTAGTGCAAATTACCCCTTCTGTAACCTTAGTTCCTTGAGTCTATTTCTGATGTAAAAGAATTTTCAACAAGAAAAGTGAGGGGAGTCCCACACATGTGGAACATAAGGGACTTGGGGAGTGGAATGAATGAAAGTGGGAGATGTGTGAGGTATTCCCTATGCTTCATCCCAGATTGGGGCAGGGACTTGAGACACCATGAACTCCCTATACCCAGCACCTCTCCCACTGTTTCCTACAGCTCCTCCTGCTGGTAGATTCCAGGACTGGAGTTTGGCTTTCCATCACTTACTTGTCCACAAACTTAATCTGCTCTTTTCCAGTGTCGCAGTAAAGTTTCTCTAGGTGCCGCTGAGCTGACTCGCTAACACTCTGCCAGGCTTTGCTGTCCCTCCGCCTAATCTGCCAATGGTAGGGATAGCAGGTGTGGTGGAGGGGGCAGCTGTCCCCCTGGGTGCAGCCCCCCAGCAGGAAGCGGTCGCAAATCTTAATTTCATCTCTTGGATGAATGTGAAATCTGATCCCATTGTCACCACTCAGATACTCGGAGGCCTCCTCGGGGCTCTGGAAGCTCTCTCCCTTGGCTGTGTGCCTGCGTTTTTGGGGCAGGCTGTTGGGAATGGTACTTTCAGCTGCTGAAGAAGCAGACATCTGAGGGGAGCCAGAGCGCTCTTCGTGGAAGGAATCCAATTCCTGGGAGAAAGAGTAATTTTGAAATGTAATACTGAGGCACAGAGTAGCTCAATGCAGGGCCTCTAGCTTGAACCTCCCCACTCCTACTCTGCGTGCACTGCTGCCACAATGGGGCCTCTCCTCTGATATATCCCAATAAACCACACACACACAGTGCTCCCCAGGGACCCCAACGCCTCTTCACACCCCTAACTCACACACACAGTGCTCTCCAGTGGGACTCTATCCCGATATACATAAAAGTAACTTGTCCTTAAATCCACAGGATGGGACACCCCTATCTGGGACTTTAACCTCCCTCTCAGCACAAATGTAGCTCTCTCCTGTGGTACCCCAACACTGCCCCCCAGAGATCTTTTCCCCTCCTGGGGGAATTGATTCCCAGAGTGGCACAGCCTCTGCCAGCCACTGTTCCCCGCAGAGATTCCCATTGACAAATGGGATGGGGCTGACTCAGGGAGGCACTTATCTTCCTGAGTGGGCCTGGTAGCCCTGTGGAATTATTCTGCCCCATCCCTCTTCCTGTGGCTCAGGCCGCAGAGACCCCTCCCAAACGCCTGGCTTGTGTCTTGCCTCTTTGAATATGAGGATTCCGCACTGTGTAGGAACAAGGGGTTTAGAACATTGGAACATGCTCTGCGCTGATTGGTGGGAATGGGGGGGTTCTCTGCTCTGATTGGTGGGTTTAAATTTAGTGTTTAATAGGTGTAAAAAGGGATAGGAGCAAAACTTGATCCCACTTTTCTTGTGATTGGGCAGGAGGGTAAAGTCCAGCTTTACCTTAGGTATATTAAAATGAAATGTAGAGTCTAAAGAAGCATTACACGCCTCTCTCTGTTACATATCAAAAGATTTAATACAGTCCCACGTGTATATTAATGATGGGAGGAGCATGAGCAAGCATCTCTCTTCCCCTCTGCTAAGTATTCAGTGGGCTAGTATAATCTACATGTCCCAACTACTACCATTGCCACCAAAGATTAAGGAGTCTGGTAAAATACTTTTTCCCATTGGGACATATTGCCTGGGGATTGTATAGTATTCCAGACCCCTGCAGAATAACAAGGGTGGGTAAAGCTAAAGCGCACAAGGGAAGGCACCCGGGGTGGAAATGGGATTTGAGGATTATACTGTTAGTAGTTTCATCCCTAAAAGGTAGGTTTTGTAGAGATAGATTATATTTAGATATAAAAATGGATGTAGGGAATTGTAAAAGGGAGGAATGAGAAGAGTTTTACAAAAGCCAATATGAATAAAATTAAAACACAAGTAATGAGAAGAGAGAATACTTTCTTTTATTTTAAAGGTGTGGTTAACGCCAGATGACCAGAGAGTGAAACTGACCCAGAGCAGAAATGAAATTGACCTCATGTAGGGTCATTCTCCAAGATGAGTGAGGGGCAAAGGGTAAATAAACAGCATAAAGAGGGAGGAGAGAAATACATTAATTTTTCTTACATTTCTTTCAGAGTTAATAGCCTAAGGGGATAACATAAGGAAAGAATTATTTGTTGCCTGATACCATCCCTTTAAACAATGCATTGACTGTTAGAGCCTTATTTAACTGCTTCCTGTTTGCTTTTTTAGGCCCCAGCTCTGTTGGTGTATAAAGTTCTAATAAAATATTCTGTAACTCTCTGCTAATTTGTGTCTCTCTATCACCTTGATGGACCAGCAAAATGGGGAGAAGTTGTTTAACTGGTTCTTTTTTTTAAACCACAGGATTCTGATAACAGTGATGTCACAATTCAGGGTAGTGATCTCATGGGGAATTTGTGATGGCATTGGTGCCATAAGGCAACTCAAATTCCTACTCATAGTTTCCCTGGTGCTTGGAGTTTCCAGCAAATTTTGCTGCAACTATCATTTTTATCATGGAAATGTGAGGAAACAAATCAAAGTTGCTCTGAGTTTATTGAGGGTTTTGTGCTTTCAAATCAACAAATTTAAAAGAGGAGTTCATCCAAGGAGGCACGTCGAGCGCTCTGTGAAAATGAGTCTGTAGATGCCAATTACCGGTCAGGCGGGCACCAGTTTGAGGTCGGGATGTCTACAGTGGGTACCATGGTGTATGGCAACACATAATATGCTGCAGGGCTCTGTGATCAAGGTGGTGAGTGTACTCAAGCTCACAGAGGGATTTGAAAAGCAGTGCTTCCCAAACCGTGCTGGACGCTTAGATGGTATGAACAGGCTCATTCTGTATGCATGCCACCAGCACAATGAGTTAGTTAATAGAAAATCTACTGTTCCATTGTGATGCAAGCTGTGGTGGACCACTGCAGACAGTTCTTGGATGTCTGTAAGGGTTGAGCCGGTAAAGGGTATGATGTCAGAACTTTTTAAGTCTGATTTTTTTTAGGCATGGTGTGACGGAGCAGCCCCGCCCCGCACTAGTCCCAGCGGCATCAGACCAGTAGCTCTGACAGGGGAAGTCCCGCCCCGTTCGTACTGGGCATGCTCCAAATGCTCTGGGAGTATAAAAGGAGGGAACTCAGCTCAGTCTGGGGTGGCGGCCACAGGGGAAGGACCTACCTGGGAAGTTCCTGCAGAGGACCAGCCAACACCCTTGAAGTGGCAGGGAGCTGAAGCGTCTCCTGGCCGGCATGAAGCCCTGCTGCGGAAGGAGCCTGAGGAGGCGACGGACCTGGTGACCCGCGGAGAACCTGGAGACTCGTGGGGGATTCCAACTCTCAAGACGGTAGGAAGCTACTCGGGGGGGGGGGGTGACGGACTGATACCTTGCCCCCGGTAAGCCTCAGCGTGTTTCAGTAGGATCTCCCTGCTGAGCCTGTGTCAAGGCCCTGCGGCGCTGTAACCAGGGGGAATCCTATGAACTATGGCCACTGGGCCACGCTACCCTGTAACCAGGGGCATTCCTATGGACTCTGGCCGCTAGGCCGTGCTGCTCTGTAACGCGGGGCAATTCTATGGACTCTGGTCATTAGGCCGTGCTGCCCTGTAACCTGGGCCAATTCTATGGACTCTGGCCATTAGGTCATGCTGCACTGTGACCGGGGCAATTCTATGGACTCTGGCCACTAGGCCGCGCTACCTTGCAACGAGGGGCGTAAAACCTCACACGTGGTGGAGAATGTGGGCAGCGATTCAGGCCTGTTGAAAGGTCCAGCGTAAGGGAGTTAAACCGGGGGAACCCTGCCAAGCCTCACGATGGAGACGGAGAAGCTCCTAAAGTGGATGCTGGAAAAGCAGCAGGAGCAGGCGGCCCAACAGCAGCAGCAGCAGGTGCAGATGATGCAGCAGATGGCCAGCCAGCAGCAGCTGCTGATAACCCAGCACCAAGAGCACCAGCAGCAGCTCCTCCGGGAATTAGTGGTCCAGCGCAGCAGACGCAACAAGAGCTCCTGGTGCAGCAGATGGCCATGCTATTATGCCTGGCGGGAGCTGCAGACGCCATACCTGCTGGGCCTGGACCCAGGGAGACTTTGGGGGAACTGCCGGTACGCCTCACTAAGATGGGGCCAGAAGACGACCCAGAGGCGTTCTTAGTGATGTTCGACCGCTGCCAGGTGGCCCCCAGAACATTGGGCCACCCTACTAGCCCCCTATCTGACGGGATAGGCCCAGGCTGCCTACTGTAGCCTCGATCCCCAGGAGGCCCTAGAGTACCCCGAGTGAAGGCAGCCATATTGGACCATACCAGCATTAGCCCGGAGACCTATCGCCAGTGCCTCCGCAAAGAACAGTACCCCCTTGGGACCCGGACCCGGGCAGTGGCCCAACGCATTCAAGACCATTGTTGGAAATGGTTGAACCCAGAGGACTTGACGGGACCACAGGTAGCGGAGATGGTGGCACTGGAATAGTTCACTCAGATCCTGCCCCCGGGAGGAAGGGCCTGGGTACGTCGGCATTGGCCAGCGACCTTGTCGGCGGTGATGGCCTTGATGGAGGACTACTTGTCCGCTGAGGGGGCCGAGGCACCAACCCGGGTAACGGGAACTTCCAGTCAGAAAGGTGGGCTAAGAAAAGGGAATCCTCAAGGGTCAGGACCCCAGGAACCATCAGCAGGTGCCCGCCGCACACTTCCAAAACTCCCCAACCCTGAGCCCAGACCCAAGGCCTCCCGGGCACCGATATGAAGGGACCAACAACCCCGAGAGCAAGGGAGCCTCCTGGGCAGAGGCCCGGGACCCGCTGAAGCCCGAGAGGGGTGCTGGGAGTGCGGACAGGAAGGGCATATTTGGCGGGATTGCCCATTCATGGACTGCAACTACGGACAAGCCTGGGTCGCGGGTCTAAGGGCATGGAAGAGAGGAACAGGAAAGCTGATGGTCCCCGTCCAGGTCAAGGGAACCCTCATGAACACCCTTGTGGACTCGGGGTGTAATCAGACCCTCATACGGGAGGGGCTGGTCCCGGACCTCAATCTCTCGGGCCCCCCGATCCACTTACAATGTGTACATGGGGACATCCGCCCTTACCCCACGGCCTGGGTGAAGCTAGAAGTATGCCGCCGGGAGTAGGGCCTCCGGGTGGGCGTGGCCCCCAGGTTAGCCTACCCGGTGGTACTAGGGTGAGACTGGCCAGGCTTCGGGAAGGTTCTCCAGAAGTACCAACCACCTGACCCACAGACTGAGGCCTCCGAGAGCGGGGCTGCTCGGACGCACACCAAGGATCGACCCCGGAGAAGGGACCTCGGCGCCGTAGGAGATACTCACAACTCGTCCCGCAGCCAGGCCCCGTTCGGTGGAAGATGCCCAGGTGGAACTGGAGCGAGATGTGGAATTTGTACAGGAGCAGAGGGAGGACCCGACCCTAAGTAGAGCCTGGGAACAAGCCAGCAGCCCGGACCCCGATGGAGACCCGCCTCCGCAATCCCCACAGGGCCCCCACTTTGAAATATGGCGGGATCGCCTATATCGCCTAGGCCAGGAACCCCAGACCCAGGAGACATTCTGCTAGCTATTGATTCCCAGGAGGCTGCAGCAAGGCCT